AAGGTAACTCAGGCAGAATTTCCTGGGAAGCTTAATAAAATACAGATTCATAGGCTTCACTCCAGACCAAATAAAACAAAAATCTCTGGAGGTGGGGCTTTGGAATACAAATTAAGCTCTCAAAATAATTCTTAAAACACACGATAGTTTGGGGCACACTATAGTTGTTTCAAATTTTGCCCTTGGAGAGAATATATTCCTTGATGGCAATCTAATCTGTGTTTATTCTTTAAGATCCAACTAAAGGGTAATTTACTCCAGGAAGATTTTTCTGATCCCATGTTGTACTCCTCTACTAAATGTGTATCATTCTGCGGCTATCTTCTCACCTTCGGATGCAAGCTTTGTGAGGGCAGAGACTTTGTCTATCTAATATACTATCTCTGCATCTGTAGCACTTAGAACAATACATTACACATAGTAGGTGCTCTTATAAATATATGTAAAATAAAGGAATAAATAAATCCATGCACTGCATAAAATTCATAAAAAACGGAGACCTATATAACAGTATCATTGATTTCTTCTGTAGGAAATTTAGCTCGATTCAGTATTTATTATGTGCCTACTATGAGCACAGGGCACATAAAGATAGTAAGACAAGGCATTAACTCATATTAAGGGAGAAAGAAAAACATATAATAAAATAAGCTGTAATGCGGTTAAACCTTAATAATGAGTATGTAAGAAACATAAATAAAGTACAGTGAGAGCACAGAGAAAGACAGATGTCATTCCTCTCACCACTGATATGGGCAAGATACCTGCTAAAGGATACAGGATATCTCCTTCATGGGGTAGAAAGGGGATCATATACAATTAAAGTATCTTGGATTCCCAAAACTGGACAAGGAGAACAAATTGATTAACATACTTTCAGAATATAAGCATAGGCTAAACTTGTGGAGTAAATTAATCTCCAAGTCCCTGGAAATCAAAGTCAGCTACAAACTATCACACAGAAGTACCATTTATATCCTGAGAAGAAAAAAAAAAAATCTGATCTTCTTTTCTTCTTTGTCTTGTATTTCTCTTTCCCAAGCTCTGTTTTGTTCTTCTCTTTTTCCAGTTCTGCCATTCCATTTAGGTGGGTGGCATTACTGGTGAATATAATGTTGTTCTGTTTTTCTTGCAACTAGTAAAAATTGCGGTATGTGTAGTATAGGTTTTAGAGTAATTTACAGCTGGATTCTAATCCTCGATCTACTATTTGCTTACTGGATGGCCTTGGGCAAGTCTGCTTAACCCCTATGCTGCAGTTTCTTCGGCTATAAGATGTGAAAATATTACCTAGTTCATAGCACTGTTGTGAGAATCAAACAAAATAATAAGTTACTACGCTAGAACTTAATTATAGAAGTTACCATCATCTTATTATACATTTTGGTGGGCACAGATGCTACTTTAAAGTTAATTTAAAAAATGTCTCATAATGTATTTAACTTTCTGCTCAATATGGAGTTTGACTGGTGACGATAATGATGGCTACCTCCAGTGCAGGCCATAGGTGAACCGGGAATGGTGAATGGAAAAAAACAAAACAAAACAAGAAATAAAGGCTTTTGGATAATAATTATCAGTGTGAAATAATGTAATAACTATCAACGAGAAAAATCTCTATGAATTGACCATCTAGTCCTTGTGGGCAAACGGCAATTTTATGTGGGTGGATTTGTGTCATTTCTATTCACACCTGGAAAAAATTTGATGACTACTGCTCTTACTTCATCTAAAATTTATACCTTCAAATAGCCTCTCAGTTCACTTGAAAAGCTATGATATCATTTGGTTTCCATCATCATCTTAAAGACCATCCTTAATTCTATGACCTATTCCTCCATTGGTGCTATCTTACTTTGCGGTCATTGATTATGCTTCTGATTCACTTGATAAATAAATGAAAATAATGATGTGGTATTGAGAAAATGATTTAACATGTAGCCCTGGTCATCTGCACTAGGCTGGATGAAACCACCCTACCAGGCCCTACACCTAAGCATGCATATGCTAATCAAGGCAGCTTAGATGTTTTCTTACTGGTTTTTCCTTTTTAAAATCATGGTCCAATTTATTACTTTTGTCACTAAATACAACATTATTGAGAATTCACTGGATACATAGCAGTAAGATAGTCAAACGGATTTCACACAAAATGTGGACAGTACAGAAGACACAAGGTTACAGAAGAAAGCCTCTGAAAGGTAAGAGGATAGTATACTAACCAAATTTTTTACTGATTTGAAACACACTTTGTTTCCTGGGCAGTAATAAATGACTACATTTTGCAGCTCATCTGGGAGACAGATAAAGCCTCTAATTCCAGGCTCAGAAGCTCCCATGAATGCCAGTCAATTGCCATATTTGGACTATCTCACTTTATTAAAGAACTTAGGGGGTTTTAAGAGAACAATAAGAAAGTGGGTTGTCTTTCTCACAAGTTTCTGAGACAACACCTGCTGCCCACCAGTGGGCTCCTATTTGCTGTGAATCACTGAGATATAAGATTTTGCCTTTATGCTTTCATGCAAATTTAAGCACACAAAAGAGCAGTAGTACTGTCTTGTACATTAGATTCAGTAGAGTGAAGTGGGTCTCTCGAGACCTATTTAATCTTTTTCTAAAAGAATAGGCAAATTTGGGGGAGTAATTACTCTAAGTTGTGTCAATCCACAAGGTACAAAGATATATATTTTGCTGTGTGTGGAGGAGAATGGCAGCAAATAGCACCCAAAACCAAATTTAATTTCTAGTAAATACAGAGAGGAGAAAAAACAATCCATAAACTTGATCAATGGGTTTCTAATTAATTAGTTACCTGAAAAAGCCAGGGCACCTTCACCTTTTCGTGTGTGTGTGTGTGTATGGGTGTGTATGTGTGTAGTATGCATGTAGGTGTGTGTGTATACAGATACACGTACATATAATTCATAATCTTTGAGGACTTGGCAGCTGGGGTGGAGGTAGGGTCCTTCATGAAAAGTTTTAAAATTGTTGATTAATTTTTAAGTCATTGGACTTGATATCTACACCAGATAACCCCATAAAGATAGATCAAAGCACATGCACAATTCTGGACTGAGTCTGCAGAAAGACAGATTTAGCAAATAACAGCTAGTTAGGTCTTTCCGTCAGTGAAGGAGAAAGCACCACACTGGTCTCATAATATGTTTGATTATTGATTAGGCTTTGTCACAGCTACAAATATGACTCTTCTCATTAAGAAGATCTCAGTTCTTAATAATGCAGTCCGTTGTTGTGAAGCCAGAAGAGATACTTGTAGCACTGAATGCTTAAATCCAGTTTCCCAGTAAGGTCTGCGTTCCCTAACCCCACCCCACCTTTAAATCTCTTTCCACTGTTGAAAATATGTATGCGAGAGAGTTCACCATTTGATGCACATTCTAACTTTATAACTTAACTCATCTATAAAAAAAACCTGGAAAACACTTATTAGTGTAACAATAAAAGAATAGATCTTTCCCTTTAATGCAACTCTGTAACATACATTCTTAAACCTCATGTCACCCAATATGGCATTTGTATTTTATCTTCTAATTCATGTTATGAATGCAGAGAGCTGCCATTTTTTAAACTAAAAAATATTAGGAGTTCACTGTCTTTTTGGATTTCTTTTAAGGCCTTTTCAGTAGAGCCAAGCTGATGTGATAATGTCTATGCATGGTTTTGTTATTGTGGTAATAACAGGTCCTAGCTTACCATAATATGTAGTACTAAGTTGGGTCTGGGAACAATGGCATAGTCCTTTTTGGTAATTGGTAAATAGTATGTTTTTGTCTAGTTTAATTAGAAATCAGAAAGAGAGAAAGAAAATATTTTTCATATATACAAAACATTCTATTTAATAAAGTATATGCATAAAATTATATACTGGGTAAGAAGCGAAATTAAAAAGAGAACAGCTTATAATACTCCTGATTAATAAGAGTTCTAAATATAAAACCAACAAATGGAAACGCCTTGCCATTTAAAAAAATTAGCACATTATACAACTTTTACAGACTTCAGAGGAAATAAAGATCTTGTGACACTGTTCTGAGGAATCTTTACATTTATAAAAATCGAAGGCCTAATTTTGCAAATACAACTTTCAAGCTGTATGAGCAAATTTAACTTACATGAAAGGCACAGGATGACATCACGTTGAAGAACGTATCTGTAAATTTCATAAAATCCAGTCACAAGTCACTAGAAATTTCATAAGGAATCTCAGAACTGTTTTTAATATGATGTTCTGACTCAAACTGAGAACTGGAGAGTCTTTATATCACAAGTACAAATTCAAGAGTGAAGAAGACTGAGAGAGAACAGTTTCTTATTTGAATGCTACCTGCTTTATGCAGTGTTGTTTACGAAGTTCTCAGAGCAGATAATTAAAATTAAAATTCTCTTGAACTTGAATTGTTTTCGATTTTCAACAGCTTATCTACTATTTTTTTTTTAGTTTGTAAAAAATGTATTTTCACGTTACTACAATTTTAAAGAGTCAGTCGTGGAAAGAAATGTTAAAGTCCTGCTCTATTAGCTTCCTACATTGGAATACAGGAATACAGAAAGTGCTTTCAACAGAAAGTTACGTAGTTCTACAGGACAACCTGTCTAAAAGACTTGCAAGGGACCAGTACAGGGACTGGGTCTCTTTGGATCAGGCAAAAGCAGAGGCAAATGAAGAAATGAGCTTTTTTTTTTTTCCAAAGTGACATATAAAAAAAAATTCCTTTATGAAAATGAAGACTCGCTTGCACTTAAGATTTAGTGCTATTAAGAAGAACTGAGGCACAAGGAAACTAAGTGCACAAAGGAAAAATATCTGAAATGAAAGTGTTTTCTATGTAATTGAAACCCTTCCCCGTTAGATATGCCTCATGACAGAGCCGGAGACGTACTTCTTCAGATTAAAGAACATTACCAACCCCAGGGACAAGCCAGTCAAAATACGTGTTTCCTGGTTAGCGTTTGCGGGGGCGGGGAGGGCGGGGAGGGCGGGGGCGGCGGGGGGGGGGGGGGCGGCGGGGGGAGTGGACACTACAACAGTGTTGCAACTAAGGATTCTGATTTTAAAAAATCGGTTACAATTTTGATTTTTCATGAAAGTCCTGGCTCTTTGCTAAAGTGAAATTAACTTCAAACCAAAAGTATGTTCTTAAAACTCTGGAGAACTGTTAACTGTGATGATGTAAGTTTCTCATTTCCCAAACAAGCTCTACCAGAGACACATCTTTTCTTCCTTTATGTCAGGATTAGACGCTCTTTCCACACAATTTAAAGCATTCTGGTAGAAGGTTGAGGATGACGCTCCAAAGAACAGCTCTTCTAATGGTGACTAGGTAAAAACAGTAATGCTGCAATCAGAAATAATGCTGCCTTGGACTGTAATTGCTTGTTTATCCTATTCCTCATGACTCTAGTAACGCATGCCATCTACACACTTGCTGTCCCTTCGACTCTTTCATTTCAGTCCAGTGATTGAGCTCCTCTTCTCCAGAGCTGTTCAGACCTAAAGAAATCCAGCCTATCATCTCTTTCCTTTTCATGCTGCGTTTGTTATACACAGACAGTATGAGTGTCACATCAGAAAGTTGAAACAGGGCCACTTGAAAAACAAATGTTTCCTTGTATACTGGATTAGGCTGCCCTCTGCGGATGGATGTCTTGCATTTGGACATCTCTTGACCCATGGAATTCAGGAGAGTTAATTTAACATACGTATCTAAGGAAAAAAACAACAACATACCACAAATATCATTTGAAACAAACTCAAGACACCTTACTTGTGACATCTGCCGAGAACATTAAGTATTTATACTTTATAAGGATATGGTGTATACCATGTTTCATGGAATTTCAACTGATTCCATTTTGATGTAGATGCTTATTCAATGTGCCAAGTACAGAGAATGCTAGGTAGGCAGAAAATCTTTTGTGGGTCATAATATCTTAACCTCGCTATTTCTACGTTATGGTTAGAATTTAAAGGTATACCTCATAATCCTTCCTCCACCCTCCCACCCTCCGCTTCCCCTCTCCCCCACCCCCGCTCCCCAGCCTTGACCTCCCACTCCCACCCCTGTCCAACCCCATCCCCATTTAGCTACACTAAGCAGGACGTCATAGCATTAATAAACACTTAGCAAGCTCAATTAGCCACAACACTGTAAAGCATTCCACTGTGTTTTCAGAGAATAAGAATAAACAAACAAATAGAAATGAAGGCAAATGGAAAAGAGGAAAAGAAGACAAGAATGCAAAGATGACATCAAAACAGCTTAGGATGAAATGTCAAAAAAATCTCTGCATGGATGTGGTTTTTAAATATATTTTAAAAACATTTAAAAGGGCCAAATGAAGCCAAATGCATTAGGGTTCAAAGTTTAGCAAATCAAGTAAAACTTTCTCCTGGTTTCATGCAAGAGTACATTTAATGTGCTTTTTGGGTAGTTAAAATAAATACTACAGGGATTCTTTTTTGGCATAATTGAATGTGAAATTTAAAGTATGGTATTCTTAACTATTTTCATGAATTAGAAAAAAAACTGATGTGATGTTTCGTGTACAAAGTGAAACATAACAGTTCATCGCCTGGTTATTTGGAAGATAAACCCTCTCTTCAAACAACTGTGTTTTCAAGTTGGTTAGACTCATGCAAATGACCTTCAGCATGGTGATCCATCATGTGTACTTCATATCAAAATTTCAATTAATTTTAATGACAATTGCAATATTTCTCATGAAATATCTATTATATGAATCAAAATACAATAAATGAAAAATAAAACCTTTAATTTAAAAAGTTTTGCTTATTTTATACATACTCTGAATACCATCATCCATAATCAGAGATAAATTCTAAGTTAGTTTTATTTAAAGTACCACAGATAATAAATGTGCATTTTGTTTTGGAAACCAACATGGTGGACAGCTTCACTGCTGGCAAGTTTTAGGGTATTTTGTTTTTGCATGAAAAGACAACATCCAATTAGCCTCTACAGGAACTCACCTCGGATTATATAAACCTGTCCACCTATCAAGTGTTTTAGACAACAGAACAGTCCATCTGACAACAGGGGGTGGAAAGCAGTAAAAGAAATAATGACCAGATGTCAATTGTTGGGTGAAAGAGGGTCAAAGGTTAGAATTAAAGAGGAAACACTGTTCACTGGGGTGGAAGAACACAAAACTTCAGCATTTTAATTGAGGCAGAGGGCTGAACAAAAGGGTTGCTGGGTAAATTTCATGGAATGAGAATTTTTAAGGTCATTGTGTAATCTTAAACAAAAATTACACTGTTTTAAAGGGGGACATCTTTATAATGATATCCTCTTGGTCTAAAGCACATTGAACATAGAATCATGCAAATTATCAGACTATAAAAGACTGAATAAAAGTCATTATATAATTATTATTATGCTAAGTTTTGAAGTCTATCCATGCAATATTAAATATTTCAAATACTTCTATTACTTTCAATGTAATATAAAGTTAAGTTAAACAAAAGAAAATAGAACTGTCAAAATTTTTGCTCTTGAATGTCCCCATGTTTCTTTAGATTATTCAGTCGATAACACAGTTCAAGGCCTACAACCAGGTATATACAAAGGGTCACCGTCTTATATAATGTATACAGTATACAACAAACTGATACATTACTTTATAAATATTCCACTTCTTACAATTAATTTTAATGTTGACTTTTTTACCTACTAGCTGCTTCCCAGTTAACACCATTAACCACCCTGATGCTGACGATCTAATTCTAAAATAGGATTGTTCTATTTTAAATTGTTTTATTCTATGAATTGTTCTAACTAACCCTTACCTACTCTAAGTTTGGATGCATTATAACCTCTCACCCTGTTTATTATCCACCCCCGCTCTCTTCACTTTAGCTCTGGTTAGTGTTTCTCTGTTTCTATCAGAGTGGGTACAGCAAGGACAGAAAGGCAAGCATATCATTCCATTCTGCTATTTTTTAGTATTTCAAACTGAGTATTTGTCAAAAAATCAAACTGTTAGCTAAAGCACAAATGGCAAACTGATAGCTGCTGGCCGGATGTAACCCCACATACTTATTTTGTTTATCTGTTACAGTGTTCAGAAGTTTTCGATTTGAATGTCTTGAGGCTGGGCATGCATGCTTGCATCTGGCATGTGCCTCACCATGCTCCTTATCTCCTGTCTGCAAAGTTTGTTCATTTAAGGTACTTTCCAGGCCAGGCCACGTGAGTTTGCATTCTAAATAGGTATCAATAAAGATAACCCTGGCCACACTTCCAAAGTTGTTTATTCTAGTAATTGCTTCCTTCCCCCCTCTGAATTGGGGGACAATAATAATTCCATCCCTCTTTTATGCACCCTCGTCTGACTTCAGTCTTAGATAACCTGTGAAAGACACAGCCTTAATTTCACATATGAGGAAACAGACTTAGGGAGAGTTAGGTTATTCATCCAAGGGTAGAAATATAAACATAATTTTGGCCTTCTGACTTTTAATTCAGGAAGAGATACATTCCATGATGTCTGTAAGAAGCAAGGTTTCCAATATTACTTAGGGAAAATCAAATATATTTTTATGACTTTTCACTTAAATTGAAAAGACAATGTTTAGGACATTGGGAGGTAAAGTTCATTTAATTCAAGGGTAGAAAAAGTTTCCCCTCCAGTAATTATTTAATACTTGGAGTAAAAGATGGCTTTTAAGCAAGTCTGTGGGAAATCTTTAAGCAAATTTAAGGTGGCCATTACTAGTTAAGATTTCCTTTCAATTGTTTAGGGCACTAACAGCCTTAATTTTAGAGAAGTATAAAGAAGCTGCTACATTCCTAGCTTATTTCTACAGATATCAATAAACATTTAGGGAGGTGTACTGACAGTCTCTCTGTACTCCCATAATCCGTCCCCATGCCTGTGAGCGGGAAAAGAGACAAGGAAAGGGGAGTGAAAGGCATAGGGACCAGAGCAGAGGCATACCTTCTCACTTTCCTTTCCTAGTGTCTAGGGGAAATATCAAACTATTCCTTATTCTGTTTGTCCTGGTAAAGGCAAAGTCACGCCATTTAAGAAAAGACTGCAGGCAGTACCGATTTATAACATTAAGGGAGGAAAACTGTGAAGAAGCAGTTTCTTCTTAAATTATCACAGGGGAGAAAAGAGAAAAAAATATAGAAGTATAAACATTAGTTCATAGTACTGCATGCAGACAGAAAATACAACATCAATCTTAAGTTGACAACAACAGCCATACAGATTCCTGTGATCGTATCTGTGGAATATTATTAACTTTAAAAAAAACCTGTAACTTTTTCTAGCACTGGAAGATAATGGCTATGATAGGGATAATTTATTCGGCAGGCACTATGAAAAATTAAAAGTCTTGTCTCCTTACAATTAATATTTTGAATTTCAAATTTTTCTACTTCCCAAATGACTGGAAATAGAAAGCATGAAACAGATTAGCTGATGATTATTACACCATTTCATTTTGATCAGTTAAGACTAAATGATAGGACTGAGGCCCTTAACACTGAGAGTCCCATAAGTGCAGGAAACAGAAGAATTAAAAAAAAAAAAATTTTTTTTTTTTTTTTTACTCACTGGGTGGTCTGTTTGCTGCCAAGTTTTTGAAGTGGCTGCCTTTTATCACTTCTGCTGATAGTCTGCCAGTTGTGGCATTGTAAAGCAGGCCAATGAGGATTTCTGGAACGGAGCCATGTTCAAGAGACTGGCATGAGGATGTACTTTCGCTACAGGACATTTCTGACATGCTCATTTGGGAGTCACAGCCCTGTAATCAAGAATGAAATCTTTATAGTATTTTGAAAAAAAAGAAAAAAAAAGATATATTAAGAGATACAGCATAAATGCTGTGTCATTACAATTGGGTAAATCACAAGAAAGACAAGAGCTGCAAGCAAAATTCCCAAAAAGCTAGATTCGAAGAGTTGTTCTTAGCATATTTTAGTCTCTGGATCTCTTTTCATTACACAGCAGTCAAAGAAATAATAGGACATGAGTAGGTTTCATAAATCCCCATGTATTTATATACAGATCAGAAAGGACAAACTTCTTAAACTCATAAGTGTCAGTGAACTATTTTTGGAATGTGAAAAATTGTTGTTTAAAGACTTATTAACCTTAAAGACTGACACAGACTTAGACTCAATTACATTAAGCATAAATGTCTTTACTGTGTCTTTAATGACACAGAGTGGAAAACTTTGATTAAATAAACAAGACAAAAACTTCTGCTACTTGTAAGTCAATATGTAAAACTGAGATATAGAAAGTTTAAAAGGATGGGAAATTACTTATCATGCAAATAATAACCAAGAGAAAATTGGTATAGATAGATCAGTATAAGTCAAGGTTAGCTTAAAGGCAATAACCTCTACTAGAGAGGAAGAGTAAGCTCAATTTGAACTTTCATTTTACCAGGAAGATAAGGTAACTCCAAATTTGCCAGCACTTAGTAACAGGTGCTTAAAATACAGAAAGCAGAATTTGCCAGAACTAGAAAGAGAAGTAGGCAAATCAACAACTAATGGGGATAACTTGAGCATACTTCTTTCAGTAACTGACCAAACAGATAGACAAATAAATGCAGTAAAAATGTAGAAGATTTGAATATCACAATAAGCAAAACTGACCTAAGGGTAATCTGTAGAACACCATACCCCACAACTATGAAATACACATTTTTTCAAGCACACAGTGGTAGTTTTACAAAACTAATTACAAAAATAAAGCAAAGAGCAAAGATTTTTAAATGGCAGGACTCTTTCAGGATAGGTCTTTTAATCAGGTAGAAATCAAAACTATCTTCTAGTAAAGAGGAAAAAGTGCCCTATATATTTGGAAATAGCCCATGGTAACTAAATGATAATGAAGACAAGTTATCAAAAAGAGTAATAAAAATAAACACTGGAGAGTCCAATTTAAGAAGAAAGAGAGAAGGCACAAAAAACAGGAATGAAAACGGAGACGTCACTACCTATGCTATGGATTATAAAAACATAAAAGGAAGGTAAAAAAAATTTTCTTCCAACAAATTTGAAATTCTGATGAAATGGATAGATTCCTGGAAAACTACAACTAACCAAAATGCACACAAGAAGAAATAAAGTATCTAAATAGTGTTACTGAAAAAATTGAATTTATAACTAAAAACCTTTCCAAAACAAACAAAAAACAAAACTAAAAAACTTTAGGTAGATGGCTTCACTGGTGAATTCTAATTAATACTGCTAATCTTATGAAAACTCTTCCAGATGGGGAAAGAGGAAACACTCTCTAGTTTTACTTCAAGACTCTAGCAAAACCTTAAAGACAAAGCCTGACAAGGACATTATTTAAAAAAAAAAAAAAATACAGGATTTTCTCATTCATGAACTTTGATTTCAAACCCTAAATAAACAACTGGCAAACCAAATCTAGCAATATATAATATCATACTTAATAGAAAAATTTTTGGATGTTTCCCCTTTGAAATTGGGGATGTGACAATAATGCCAACCATTACCACTTCTAGTTAACATTGTAGTGGAGATTCTACTCAGTGAAGCCTTACTGAGCCTTACTAGCCTTACTTAGCTCACTAAGCCTTACTAGCCTTACTAAGAAAAGAAAGGAAGAGAAGAGAAGAGAAAAAGAAGAGAAGAAAAGAGAAGAGAGGAGAAGAGAAAAGAGGAAATGAAGGAAAAGGAAGTAAAGGAAAAGGAAAGAAAAGCTATGACAAAAAGATTTGGAGGGGAGGAGATAAAACTCCTTATGTGCCTATTATGTAACTATGTGTACCTGAAATCTAAACAAGTGCACAGATGAATTACAATTGCATACAAAGATAAAAATTATAAATCAACACATTGTTATATACCAACTAAACTTTGAAAATACAATTTATTCAAAAATAGCATCTGTTAGAACATAAGATATAAAATATCCAGGAATAAATGTACAAATGATATGTGAGGCCTCTACATAGAAAACTATGAATATTACTGAGGCAAACTGAGAAGTGCTACATAGATATACCACATTAATGTATTAGAAAGCCCAATTTTGTTATATCCTCTCCAGATTGACCAGTAGATTAAATGCAGTAACAGTCAAAATCTCAATAGGTTTCTTTGCGGAGCTTGACAAACTAATCCTAAAGTGCTCATGGTATACACATACAATGCAGGATTATTCGCCCTTAAAAAAAGGAAATCCTGCCATTATGTGACAACATGGATGAAACTGGAGGACATGAGGCTGAGTGAAATAAGCCAGGCACAGACAAATACTGCATGATTCCACATACATGAGATATCTAAAAAAGTCACACTCACAGAAGCAGAAAGCAGAATGTTGGTTGCTGAAGGGTGGGGGTAGTGGAATGAAGAGGTGCTGTTCAATGAGCATAAAGTTACAGTTATGCAAGATGAATAAGTTCTAGAGGTCTGCTGTACGACCCAGTGCCTGTAGTTAACGATACTGTGTTGTATACTTACGCATTTGTTAAAGGGTGGACATCGTGTTAAATGTCCTTTTTACCAAAATATAATATAATGAAATGGCATGAAATAAAAATACATGGCAGAATGCCCTGTTCTACTGAGTATCTACTGACTATCAAAATTTATTATAAAGTTACATCATTTAAGACAATGTGACAAAAACAATGTACAACAGACTATCAGAATAGGAAGACCACAAATTAACCTAGGCATACACAGACACTTAATTTACAACAGTGGAACCACAACGCAGTGGGGAAAGGATCATAATGAATAGTGCTAAGACAACTGGCTATCCACCCAGAAATCAATGAAAACTAACCCCTACTTCAAAACATGCCAGAAAGTCAATTCTGAATCGAAATATAAAAAGAAAAATGATAGGGGCACCTGGGTGGGTCAGTCAGTTAAGCATCTGACTCTTGATTTTGAGTCAGGTCGTGATGTCACAGTCTGTGGGACTGAACCCTGCATGGGGCTCTGTGTTGACAGTGTGGAGCCTGCTTGGGATTTTCTCTGTTCCTCTCTCTCTGTCCCTTCGTCTCTCTCTCTCTCTCTCTTTCTCAAAATAAATAAAAAAAACTAAAAAAAAGCAAAATGATTAATCTATATGTTAACATAGGGGATCATATTCATGATCGCAGGGTAGGGAAAGACTCCCTACAGAGGTTACAAAAGCATTAATCATAAAGGAGAAGTTTGGTGAATCTGACAAAATTAAAATTAAGAATTTCTAAGCTTCAGCAGAGACTTTTAGGATGGCAAAGAGGCAAACAATCAGTTGTGAGAAGAGGTCTACAACACATATAGTTAACAATCAGCTCAAATCCAGAATATGTAAAGAACACTTATAAATCAATAAGAAAATGACAACGCAATATAAAAGTGAGGAGACATCTGAACCAGCAATTTCACAGAAGAATAGCCCATGAAATATATGAAATGTTGTTCATTAGTAATCAGGGAAATGGAAATTAAAACCATGAGGTGTCAATGCACAACAAACAGCCTAAAATAAGAGTGTGGTGAGTTCACAGAGCAATGGGAACTTACATGTTCCTCTGGTGGTAAAGTAATATGGCTTTTAAAAATGTTAAAAATACACTTACCTTATGACATGGCAATACATACCCATCAGAAATATGTACCATGTTTATCAAAAGCCATATGAAAGAATGTCCATAGCAACATTATTCACAAGGGCCCCAAACAGCAGAAAGGATAAATAATCTGTGGTGACTTCATACAATATAGCAACAATACTGTACATATACAGCAACGAAAACTAATTATAACTACATTTACAAACATGACTTAGAGTGAAAAATGCTGAACCTAAACGGATACTTGGCTGTGTAATTTCATTTATGTAAATTTCAAAAACAGCAACCACAAAAAACAAAACAAAACAAAACAAAACCAAAAACAAAAGAATAGACAAAACTGAACCACAGTATTTCCAATGCATGAATAAGTGGTAAAACTATAAATCAAGCAAGTAAGTGATTAATATAAAAGTCAAAATTGTGGTTAACTCTAGGGGTGGGGAGAGAAGGTACAGTGATTGGGAAGGGCATGCTGGGGCTAGCTGTGGGTACTGGTAATGTTTTATTTCTTGCCCTGGATTGCAGTTACATGGGTAGTACATTTCTGTTTTTCACACTTTTCTAAAGTGTGCTGGATTTCAGAAGACAAAGGTTTAATGAAAGAATTATATGATACAAGTATATAATATATACACAAAATAATGTACAGTGATAAAAGTAAACATTTAGGACTTTATTTGAAGATTCCTAAAAGGATTAACTCCACAAGTTCCACAAAAAAAGATGATAACGCTTTTTTCTGTAATGGACTTCCATATTTAAAATATATTAGATGTAGATTTTCAGATTTAAAAAAAAATCTAAAAATGTTTTATACAAATCCTCATGTCTGAGTCTACGGTTGGCTATATAAGTAATTAAGGAGAATTAATACACACCTGGAAACTGAATTAACTCACTGGACTAGTATTTAGATGGAAAAGTCTCATCTTTTCAAATTTAACTCTAAATCATAGAGGAGAAAGTCAAAAGGAATATACATCTTGTATTTCTAAATCATGGGTACACAAAACACACAGTTTGGTATGTTTTCATGACAGTTGGAGGAGGAAACATAATTTTAGTAAGTTTCAATTAGGATATATCATCACTTATGAAAATAGTGTCAAAAACATGCTCAAGCACATTTGGTGCATTTGCTACATTAGGCTATTACACTAGCAGCATCTGTTAGAATATTG